AACAGTCGGTTTTTGGCTTCCCCTCGAATTGCACGGCTGTCACACTGGCTCTCCATGAACGTGCGGAAAGACCATTCCTTACTCTGCCTTTAATTTGGTTTGTGAAGGGCATAGAGCATTTAACCTCAGTTTGTCAGAATATAAGCTGATGACTTCTGAGCAACTTGATCCTGCGGGCTTGAGTTTCCTGCATGGAAGATTTATTGGCAAAACTTCAGCTGATAATGGGAGCTTCAGGCAGCTAGTAATCAATCTCCTTTTCATGAAGCAAAAATGAAACATGTTCCCAGAAGAGCTTCACAGGGAAACAGCAGCGTACCACATCTCAGAAGCTGTCCAGCGGTGCTTTCTCCATTCACCCTGTTTTGCTGAGATCTTTGACTGCTGGAAGTCAAGTCTCTCCCTTGCCCTTTGGGACCAGACTAGAACATATAGGAAAACGCATCCATTTCTTCGATGCTGCTCTGTCAAACTGTATCAAAGGCTGTGCCTCGAGTGTCTGTGCTTCTGACGATACTGAGCAGGTCTGAAAATGTGATAGTACATAAGGGCTCTCTCCCCAGCCTAAGAATTGTGGGGTGCTTCATGTGCCTGATGATGACCTGCCATAAAATCAGTCCCAGAAATTTGATTGCATTAAAGGTTTTGGGCATTGCAAAGTCCTGCTTTATTTGTATTTCATTTTCTCTGGGTATGTATGAATATTGGCAGTGGTACATCTACAAGGCCTGTAGTATTTTAATCTGGCTCTAAACTTTTGCACTGAAACAACTGGTCTCCAAAAGGTGCTTAGGAAACTTTTCCCTAAAAATCAGAACAGGGAGAAAGGACTTTTCTGGGGAAGAAAATAGGAACGCTGGAAGATTTTCTGTACCTTTCTTTCAAATATTGCAGTGTCTTCAGGCTGATGCTAAACTAATGCTGTGGTAGAAAGGTCAGCTGGGAGGAAGGGATTGATATGGCTATTTTTTGAAGAAATAGGAAGTGTTCCTTTTGTTATGGTGGTTTGATCCGTTCAGTAACAGACACGTAAGCATGCTGCATTTCACTGGTCCTTCTGGAAGAGCTGAGGGTACCGGAGCAGAGCGGAGCAGCCAGCAGATTAGCAGTCAGAGCAGCAAGCAGCGTTTGTGGGAGCAGCTGCACAGGAAAAAAAAAAAATCAACTCAATCAACTGCTGCCACATTTATTCTTTTGTGAGTTATTTGAGCTTGTTTAGTCTGTGCAAGAAGCCTTAGGAGATGATAATATAGGTTGGGCAAAAACTCAAGGAAACTCTAGCCTTTTTGTAGGGAGAGCCCTACTGAAAGCCCTGCTGGGGGGGCTGCCAAAGAACAGCACTGCTGGGTGGCTGGAAAAACAGCTCTTTGTGAACGTTCAGGCCCACGGGTCCCCAAAATAAGGTGGGAACTGGGATGGAGGAGGCAAGAGGGAGATGGAAAGAGAGGGAGGGATCCGGTCATGTTGGATTCCACTACTCCTCTTTTTTTTTTCTTTTTTTCCTGGATGATTCCTGCTTTCCTGTTTTCAGGCAGAAGCAGCAGGTGCTTCCTAAGCACATAATGGATCCCATGGACCAGCAGGGGGTGAGGCTTGGGGTTGGCAGAAGCACCAGGGGAACCAGGGGGAAAGGGCTCCCTTAATTGGGGAGTCATTGGATGTAGGTGCAGTGAGAGCAGGAGAAGCTGTCAGCAAGCTCTGGGTGAGCAAAAAGACAAGCTGTGGATAAAAAAAAAAAATCGGCTCTTAAAATTTAGTTTTAATTACAGCAATGCCGTTTAGGAGAGAAAATTTGATAGGTAGTTATCTTTTTCATGTTTAATTTCAATGGAAAAAAGTCACTGATTTTAACAAATATAAAGCAAATTGGTGTTTATAGAAGGTATTTTTATATGGAGTGTTAAGGTATATATCAAGCTGTAACTACAAAAGAGATTTGAAAGCACTTCATGTTACACTTGCTGGACTAAAGCCCTTTTCAAACCAAGCTTTTCTTTTACAAGTTAGAATATTGTATGCTTTGTAAGACTAAGAAAGCAAGTCAGGATTAAATATTATCTTCATATACTGCTTAACCAAATAATTTTTTAGCTGGGACTTAAAATGAAGATGCTTTTTCTTTTCCTTTCCTTTTTTTTTTCTCCTTACTATATACCAAAACGTTTGGTTTCTAATCTTAGTACTGATACAGAACTGTTGGCAAGAAAACAAACATCCACAAGCGCTCACTGCAGGTGGAGGGCTTCTGGTTTTGTCATAGCAGCAAACCAGACCATTCATAGTGCCTGAAAATCTAGCGGCTTTACTACAGCAGACCTTCTACTCTACAATTAAGTTAGGTAACCAGTGATTTGGAGTTTAGAAACCATCTCAATCAGATTATTTAGTTGAATTAGATGCTTGGAATCTGGCCTGCAAACTTCCAAATGCAGCTATTTGGAAATCCCTGCACAGTAACTTAGTTGCTGTCCATGTTTTTGCCTAACTTCTCAGTAACAACATGTTTTTAAGGAGCAGAGCAGTTAAAAACAGGGGTGGACTCTGCGTCCAACTAGGACTTTCCAAGAATATTCTGTCTCATGCCCCTAGATTGCGAAAGAACAAGACCTTTGTAATGAAATGCCATGATGCCAGAAGATTAATTCCCCACTCTGTGCCTATGGGCTGTGTGGGAGCCTGACATAATATCATTCTTCCTGGAAGATACCTGCTTTTCCAGGGAAATAAGCTGTGCAGGAGTAGGGTATAGGGCTGTCAAACAAGTTGGGCAGAACATTGGGAACGATAGCTTTTATGCAACAAGAAATCAAGGGAAGCAGTTGAGTTGTTGTGCATCCTACTTTTCCCACCAGAGGAAAAATTTGGGGACACTGAGATATATTAATACAGCTTATTTAGGATTTTTTGAAACAAGATGGCATTACTCATCTCCCTGCTGTACTGACAGGGATGCTGGAAGCTGTGGTGATTCCAGCACTAGTTTGCTTGGCATTTTTTACCAATGCAACCTGCAACCTGAAGCCAGCACTCCATCCAGAGTGTCTGCTCTATGGCTGGGGGGGTCCCAGGCTCCCTGCTGAGGTCCGCAAGGGCAGGACGATGTGTGTTGGCTCCCTTGGAGGGTACCACGGTAGCCAGCCACGCAAACTGCTGGGTATCAGCATTCCCTGAGCTCCTGGCAGGAATCTCAAAACACTTTGCTTCAACAGATCTCTGCTATTTTGTTCTGGGTTTTAATCAAAACCTTTTTAAATGGAGAAAACGCCAGCCAGCCAAAGCTAGTCCTGATTTCTATTTTCAGCTCCAACTCTTGCTAAACCCCTGCCTGTTTGTTCATGTGTGAAAGCAGTGCCCAAAGTCTGTATAGAGCCAAATGCAAGAATAGGCAGCATCAGAGTCAAAAATACTTGAAAATGGGTATTATGATACTTATTTCTCCAAGCTGTTGCAAGGCTTTGTTAATCATTTCACAGTGCTTTAGGCACAGGGTTTGTTGTGTGGGTTCTCACTCAGTAAAATGTGTATCAAACACTGACAGTCCTAGTGCCATTCATATTTATATTCAGTAATGATTCAGGCTCTTGAAAAATCATGTTCAAATTACATGTTCTACAGCTTTAATTTCCTGTTGCTAACAAGGGAATGATTTGCAATTTCTTGTTTGTCCTCCTTTACGCTGTAGTCTGGAAGCATTGCTCAGTTACCATGCTGAGTTTCACAAGCAAAGCTGCCCTTTTTGTATTGTCTAGTTCCTAAATCTCATGCCTTTCAACGTTTCTCTCTAAAAAATACTTTCTGTGAATCTGAACATTTTTGTGCGCTTGTACCCTAGTGTACGATTTGAAGTGGGTAAGCCTCTTGGATATTCAGTTAACATAGGACCAATATATATTTATTGCAGTAGTACTATAGGATTCGCCTGTGATGTCTGAGAACTGTGTTGCATTCCTTGTTTTCCCCCCAAAACCCTCCTAGAAACCTATAACCAGAAAACTGTTTTTCTTAGCATTGTTTATATCAAATGCTCAAATTCTGGCTCTGCCTGTCCCATTTGTGCTTTTTCTCATCCCATATCTTCCTTTTGCCTGAGATAAGGCTTTTTATTCTTCAGCAGCATCATTTTATTCTGATTCCTTTGGAAGAAATTACAATAGGTGGGGTATGGTAGGACGGGAAGTAGGACAGAAAGCTGCATCTCCTTGTAGCGAAGCAGTGGGCAGAATAATGAAAGACTTGATGAGTTCAAGTATGCTTTACAGAGATCCAAAAGCAATTTGAGGATATTTTCCCAGAATCCATTTAGGCTGTCACTGTAGTATCTGAGCATATCCATATTAGTGGATTTATTTTCCCAGTCCCCTGCAATGAGGTAGGAATGCTGTTGCTCACTTTGATAAACGAGGAGAGAGTGTGACTTGTCTGGGGTTATGTGCCAAGCTTGTGGCAGAGATGTGAGTTGATTCTACATCATGTGTGGCTCAGGCTCCTTAGGTTAAAAAAGGAGCTGAACCTCTGACACAGGAGAAACATTCAGTGCTGTGAAAGGTAGAGAAACAAGCAATAAGGGAGATACAGCTGTGTTAATAGTCGCTGTTGTGCTAATGGACTGGTAGTGAAAACCAAGTACCCTGCTATTGCTCACCTCAGAGGATGCTGTTAAGTACTTTAGGCACAGCTGTCATTTGTTTAAGGGTTTATTTCAATTTAATGCCTTGGGCTGTGTAGTGTAGCAGTTCTAGGGCCACCACGTGTCCTGTGTGGTGGTTACTGGTGGGTCTGGAGGGGAGAGATAAACCACTGGAGTCAGCGACAGTCAACCAAACCATTGCTGCTGACCATAAGATTTTGCTCATCTTCCCAGCCTAAGTGAACAGACTATCATGCTCATCCTAGATGCATGCTCGAGAAGGTGCTCAGTGTAGTACGTGAAGATACGTGAACATGAACAGGAGTGATAAGATGTTGATATTAAACTTTCTTTCCTTATGTTCTTGAAACAGCTGGTGAAAGGGCTGCAGCAGGAGCTGAACCGGCTCTACACGCTTTTCTGCTCCCGGAATCCAGAGTTTGAGGAGAAAGGAGGGAAGGTCTCGATTGTGTCCCACTCGCTGGGCTGCGTCATCACCTACGACATCATGACTGGCTGGAACCCGGTCAGGCTTTATGAACAGTTGCTGCAGAAGGAGGAGGAGGAGGAACTTGAAGACCGTTGGATGAGCTATGAGGAGCAACGTTTACTTGAAGAACTTTACATAACTAAACAACGGTAATGCATCCACTTCTGATTATTAAAGGAGAAAACCACATCCCTAGATGACGCCCCTTGAGTGTTTCCAGAACCCACCAAGGCTGTTATCTTTTGTGGCTGATGTTCTTCTGCTGGTGCTGAATGGCAGTGGTAAATGCTAAACACAGAACTGAGCAGGCACAGGGAGCTGGCATTGCTAATAGGAGCTCTGAATCCACATCCTACGGGCTGTACCAGAACCAAGCAACTAGTTACTGCTCACTGGCCAGATGGACCGGGAGCAGATCATGGCCAGGAAGAAAGGAGAAGGTCAGGCCATTAGCCTTCCAGATACTTGAGGAGAAACACAACTGAGTACCTTGCAGGTAGGCAGTGAGCTGTAATACTGAGCAGAACCTGAGCAGTGAAATTCCTAAGTTTCTAGAGAAAAATGAGAAGTTTTCTCCTAGGCTCAGCTTGGAAATTGAGCTCCACCAGCTGGATACAGATGTTGTAATTGCTGTTATTGGGCTTATGGGTTTGCTACTCTGCTGCGGATCATTTACTAGCTTCTTCCTGATGCCATCTAGAAACGTTCGTGCTGTTTGGAGTGCAAAGCAGCACTGCCCACTGTGACAAACAGGATCTCGGTTTCAGCACTTTGCAAGTGTTGGTAGGGGTTCTCAGTTAGGGGACCTTGCAGATCATCATGATGTCTCCGCAGTGTTAAGGTGACTTCTCTGTCCTAACCTGAAGATTGAGGTGCTATGAGACACCCACAGATAGAGAATCTAATAATAGTAGCTTGAGCTTCAATCTTTCCAGTGGGAAGTGAGGATAAATCATGGTCACAGATCTTTTTGGTTCCTTCTTGAAACCTTAGTATTGGCGGTACTTTGGAAGCATTAATATAGCATCAGATCTCCTGCAGTGCTTGAAATCAATATGTGTGTAATCGGGGATTGGTACAGGACATCTCTGTCAGCTGCGAGGCTGGATAAAGTGTAATCTTTCTGAGAGAAGGGAAGTAAGAAACCTAATGAGGTTGTCCAGTGGTAAGATGACCCTTCAGGCGTATCACTAGCATATGATCAGGGAAAAATTACCATTTTCACACTCAGACTCCAGCTCCTTAGGCATCCTCTGAAGTGCTTCAGGTTGCATCCACAGTAATCCAAGTATCATTTGACACTGGCACTTCTGTATAGATAAGAGTGGCCCTCCATTTTGTGAGCCACCTTAGTGCAATTCAGTCTGAAATAATGGAAAACGTACTACTGACATCCTATAACTTCTGGATTTCTGGTGTTTTAAGGATGGCAAACACGTAGTGGATTTCTGGAAATGCTTATGCCTGAGTAGGGTGTGTCGTAGCATGTATAAATATTCTACATTGTAGAATAACATACATACAGCATGTGAGGTTGTGCATTGGAAACCTTCGACAGCAGTTCACAAGAGCTAAGAATTCTGCATGCCGTCTTTTTTAAGACTGAATCACGTTCCCTAAAGCATACAAACTTTTTGGAAAGTACTGGGAAGTCTTTCAGAAGTTTCAGCTCCAGACTTGCTTCTTTCTAGTCAGGATGGCAGAGGTTAAGCTTAACATATTTGTTTACGTAATGCTTTTGCAGAACTTGAGGAGGTGGTATTTTCCTGCTCTGAAGAGGGCATAATGTTCTAGTGCTGGGACTGGGGACAGTTTTACCAGTCCATATGAGCGCTTTATATTGTAGCTCCTTTTTTAATTCAGGCTAACTAGAAGAACAGGTGAACAACCTTTTTTAATGACAGTTGAAAGGGTGGGACACTGTTCTCCAGATATTCTGCCACAATACAGAACTCCATAATGCTTGGCCGTGGAGTTTCCTGTGGCTTTGGGGTTTTTTATTAAAAAAAAAAAAAACAAAAACAAACCAAAATAGGTGATTTGGCTGCAAAAACACCAAGGAAACAGGACAGGAGTCACCTACTCCTGAGGAAGGAGGGTGGGCAGATGCTTGGGGTGGTGAACAAGGAAACTCGTATATTGATTGATTCCTTCTGTGGTCAGAGAAACAGGATTTCACATATACTGACTCTTAATCAGTTGGACTGCCTCCAAGAAATACTGATGCCATCACTCTCTTTTCCCAGCAGACAAAACTGTTGGACCCCACAGGAATGCCTGTTTGGATCAGAGAGGTTAAGGCTACATTTTTTATTGGATCTCAGAAAGATCTCTATTTTCTAGGTTGAGAGAGATAGAAGAGAGGTTACGTGAGTTAAAGGCATCCACCATATCAAAACCACCTGTCTTAAAATTTAAGGTATGTATGTTGGAGAGGTTTTTACTGAATGTTCTACTTGCTGTAAAAACACACCTGCAATATGGGTTATTCTGCTTACTTTTTTTTTCCATGTCCCTACACATGATGTTGGTAGAATAATTTTAATGTATTGGTTGAAGTGTGTGTACATGTGTGTAAACATGTTACTGTATTCATATATTACTATTTATTACAAATATACATGTTTATATGTAAGCATATAAACCTGCATATAGATTGTTAATATATTACACACACACGTATAACTATGTGGGAAGGTAAAAGCCGTTTGGCAAATTACATTAATCACGTATTTTAAACAATTTCACTTCTACTTTGTTGACTAATCCATTTTCCTTGGGGACTACTTCTAACATGTCACATCTCTGAGCAAATCTGATTGAATTTCCTCCAGCAGTGGATTTTCCTTCCAAATTATTCTGGTCTGACAGTTAGCACAAGTTACTTTTAGTCTCATGAAATAAATTGCTTGCTAATCAGCTGTACAAATTGCTAGAATTTCTTATCATTGGAAAAAGGCATTTTCTAGCTTCTTGGTGGGATGTGCAACACTTTCTAGTTGATCGACTATATCTTGAAATATTAAACCATAAAAATGTGACATGATAGATGAGAACAAAATAGATTATTGTTTCTTAACTTGCCATTTTTCTTTCCTTCTGAGTTCAGGACTCCTAGAAGCCAGGGTCAATCTTGAGCCATAAAAAAGAGGAAACTAACCATAATTCAATTTGTCATAGCCTTCTCTTTTTCATCACTGCTTAGAAGCATGTATCGCGCTATTATCTCAACCATCAAGGAAGCTGAAGTCAGGCTGATACTCCTCCAGTTCTGTGAAAGATTATTCTTCACTCAGTTGTGTTTAAACTGAAGATTTTTTTCAATAGATGATTTTTAGAGGGAGCAGGAAAGGAGGGGAAAAGACAGGGGGCAGAAGAGAGGACTGTATCTATCTAAATTACTGCTAAGTAATTTTTCATTGCAATACATCCTTTTTCTTAAAGGAAAATGTTTTGTTTCTGTGAAGCTTTACACTAGTGACTCCCATTGCTTAAGTACCGTGCCCGAGACAGAGCTCCAGAAAGAGAGAGGTTTTCTATGAACGTGATGGCAAAGTGCTTCTGCCAAGGGAGGATTTCAACAGGATGCTTGAAAGACGATTGCTAATCAGCAAGCCAGTCCAGCTTACTGAGGGTGACTAGCTTGTTGAAAGAGATCTAACTGCTTTGTAGGTACCAACTACCAGCACCTTGGCTCTTCATGGCAGAGCAGAGCTCTGGTTTGATCACGAGTTCCTATTAACTGCAAGTGCTTGATCCACAAATTGCAACGCAGGAGACTGGAGTCTTTGGTCACTGATCTCCTTAGGTTGTATTACATGACGAAATGGGCATGTACAGCTGTAATGAAAAAGGCTAGCCACTGTCGATGTGTTGCCTCTTTTATGGAATGAAACAAATTAAGCTTCCCAGGATGAGAGAAAGTCACTAGTCCTACATGAAGCAGAGTTAAGCTTGCTTGATGTTGAGCAAGCACAAAGGTAGCTTTTGGCAAGACAAGTGCAAGAATAAATACAGCAGCTAACTTGGCTGGTATTTAATATTAGAGGAAATGATCTGTGTGATTGACTGACCCTTTTGGGAGGGAAAAAAAACCCCAAACCTGAAGATACAGAGTGTGTTGTACTCTAATAATATATTGGGCAAGCCACCAGAATGGGAACTTGAGGGTGAGGTATCTTTGTCTCTCTTGCTCTACTTCTGCTCAGACGGCATAACTGAATAAACTGCTAAATCAATAGGAGGTGCATGGGTTAAAAGCAAAGCCAACACCCCATTGTAAATGTAAAGCTTAGAAGCACAGCCTTCTCCCCACCAGCTACATAAGAGGAATTGGAGTGAAAAGTCTAAAGGGGCTGAAGAACATGAAAACATGGGGAATGGTGTGATACCTACCACTTTATGACTCCACGGTGCATGAAAATAACCGTGTTGTAGGATGATTTTCAATCACAGTGGGGAAGAGGAGGGCAGGGCATATCATGGTTGCTCCCTAGTACTGAAAAGGAAATTAATTTAAATCTGGATTTGTCAATGTGCTGGCCCAGAGTGCTTCAGGATTCCTTAGCACTTCTCATTCACCCAGGGTTACAGAAACTCTTCCAGAAGAAGCTCCAGCATGTACTTGACCTTGTGTTTTCTATGTAGCATCACCTGGCAGTGATGTCAATGTTGATAACAACTATCACAAATTATTTGTCAGATACTACTGATATGTACCACATGTACAAGAACTATGAGAGCTTAATGGGATGCTGACGTGCAGCCTTATCTGAGAGGAGGAAGCCTTTAAACTGAATGCAGAAATGTGCCGTAGTAGTTGAACACAGAACTGCCCAGTTAAATTCCCCATGTAATACTGGTATAAGTCTCTATTCCCTTTGTCGGCTAAGGCTGCAGAACATTCCTGGGTGCAGAAACGGGTGGGTAGAGGCTGCTGCAGAGGTCTGTATTTCCTTGCTCTGGAAGGATGTTTGGGATCCTCCAGGCTGAAAGGCAGCACAGAAACATAAATTATAATCGCTTTCTGTGTCTTCTGATTTAACATCACCACTAAACAACATTAATTTGTTCCCCACACTTGCCTATGCGCAAAAGAGCTGCGCTGCCTCACTTCTGTTGGCTCATTCAGGTTGTTTTTTTTAATTCTGAAAATACTGCAGTCTTAATTTGAATGGATGACTATTTGGCTCAGCTTCTGCTTGAAATAAAAATAAATGCATTAAGTCTTCTGTTTATGACTCATATCCAGGAGAAAAGTGCTGTCCTGAAAGGTCATGTTCTTAAACATGTCTACTCTGTTGTTAAACATTTAGAGGAATATATGTGAAGTGCTCCACTCCTGCTTCTAGGAGAAACACCGAAATTAATAAATGTTTTCTAGAAAGATTTTAGTCCTCTAGTCCCAGTAAGTTTCATTGCATGGCAGTCTTCTCTTCAGCCACTTTGCAACAGCGCTGAGAGTTTAATGGCTGCAATTTAAAGGGCTTTATTTTTAGAAGACTTAGTTTTGATTTTTAGCATTCACTGCTTTGGTATTGGTCTGGTGCCACCCGTTAAGGTACCCAGCTATTGGTACTTTATCTTTGTAAGCACTTCCAGAGCTGGAAGACCATGTTGAAAGGCTCGCCTGTGTAAGAAAATACATAGCAAAGAACAGTGCCCTCCAAGAAGAAAGCATCTGTCTGTGGACACTGTTAATCTTGTGTTTATCAATAGAAGCGATGGAACAAAAGCCATGCACTGTGTAACCACTGAAACTATTTACCTTTTGAGATTTTTGCCTAGTCTGTACTTGCCTAAGGTGAATTAATGAAAACATCTTTTAAGCATCTGCTAGCAAGTGTAAGCTGACAGTCACTTTCTGATTTCTTTCTGAAGCAGAAAGACCATAATTGTGTACTTCAGATGCTCGTTACAGGAATATCATATGGACAGGGTTAAAGGTTATGTATTCAGTTTAAAGGATTTCACTGTGAATATCTGTTTCTATTGTATTTGAAGATGAGAAAGCTTTTTGTCCAAACTGCAAAAATGTAAGGGTCTGTGTAAAGCCTGATTATAAGAAAGGAGAGCAGCTTTGCCCTAGACTAGGGTGACAGTGTAGATGACAGAGAGCAGTGCTTTGCAGCATATGATATTGAATAGCTTTGCTGAAGAGCTAGATTTTTTTTTTTCCCATTGAACTAGGACTTGCACATTCTTTTGGAAGGAAGAGGTGGGGTACCAGTGCCAAGTCAGAGGAGGAGGAATGTTTTGTACAGTGCTGGAATCTGATAGATGAAACGGACCATTGTTTCTACACCCTCGCTCCATGCGCTGACGTATAGGGAACGCACATGGGAATCCAAGCACCCTCCATGTGCACTTTAGCAAGAATGCAGCAATTTCTCTTGCTGGTTAAGTAGCAGCATGCTAGGATTTGCTCGGTTGTAGTGCCCTGCAAACTGGGCACTACTGTTGGGAAGGTTGCAGTGAAGGTCTGATAATGGTAAAATTAATTTTTTGTATAAGAAAATTCTCTAAAGGTTAAAAAGTAATCTTGACTTATGAAAATATTTTTGACTACAGAGTTTTACATTTGATGTTTCTAGGAGACGATGTCTGAGGATTGGTAATGGGATACAAAGCCATTCACCTCTAGGTCACTGTTGAATCCCGGCCCAGGTTGGTAGTGACCAAAAGTCGTTACCACTGATGCATGTTCAGTGACCTTGGTCAGCTGGGTTAGCAGTTGCAGTTCAGGTTTACTCAATTGCCTCTCAGTGTTAGAGGCAGTCCTTTTAGAGCAAAGTGACAGTAGCTTTGGATGATGGCTCAGTGTGCTGTACCTGTTCCTGGGTAGCGGTTCCTAACATGTGATGCGGTGGCACTTTTGACAAGCATCATTCTGTTCACTTAACACTAGGTGTTTTTAAGAGGTTGTATGGAACACCAGCCTGTATGTGTGCGTGACTCCTACAAGTGTTCTCTAGGTTGGCTTTAATACCCAGCGTAGCCTGCATTTCTACTTCCTCGATGGGTGTGTGTAGCAAAACAAATCACAGAGTGCTTGGTTAGGGTAGGATGAAGGAGCTGTGGTAAGATTTGGGAAGTTTCATGAGAAATCAGGCTTCAGTCTTGTGAAACTCATGGCATTTCCTTAGTGTCTTCCAAATTCTTCTCGCTCCAGCCTTCCCAGTGTCGGTAGACCTCTTTTAGTTCAACTATCCAACTTGTGTTTCAACTATGTAGTACCACAATATGTAACTCTTCTCACAGCAAAGGGAAATGGGAAACTTAACCTTCATGTTATAGTACATATGTTATAGTGATCTTTCCCGTTTTGACTGACTAATACTGTACAAGTCCCTCAGTTGAAACTGAGAAATCGTTGAAAGAGAGAAATCAAATCCAGCCATGTTAGAAAGCATTATTTCCATCCTTATTAATGTGGATGAAATCTCTCCTTAGGTTGAGAATTTCTTCTGTATGGGATCTCCATTAGCAGTGTTTTTGGCATTGCGTGGCATCCGTCCAGGAAACAGCGGTAGTCAAGACCATATTCTGCCCAGAACAATTTGTAACCGCTTACTAAATATTTTTCATCCAACAGATCCAGTGGTGAGTTTTAATTGCAGTTGCAAGCTTTTACCGTGACTATTTTTAAGCATCAGCTGTGTGATAATGTGTGATCTTCAAAGCGTGTGAATCAACGCAAGCATGTTCCAGCACAGGACTATTTGTTAATGATTATTGTACCATGTCTTGGTTTTCATAACTGTAGAATAACAGTTCCTACAAATAATTGCCTTAAATACCATATACTTTGCTTCTCTTTTCATATTAATAAGATTCAAGATTACTCTTTTTTTTTGCAAAGGCATAAGAAATAATCATTCTCAGTGAAGTTTCAACTTGTGTTTAACTTACTGACTTCCATTAAACATCATCTGTCCAAAGATAGTACTGCTGTTAAAACAAGGCTCCACAAGCAGTTTACAGGATACTGTAGAAAAACAAAGACACTGTTTTTTTCCCAAAGGGTCCTAAGGAAGAGATTGTTAGAGGGAGGGGTAGTACTTGGGAGGGCACTATTAGTATAGCTTCAGCCTGTCCTTATACTCTTCCATAGGCAGCCAGTGTTCGCTGTTATCAAAGGCAGGATGCTGGAACTTTGATCTGCATCATCTTGGCAACTGCTTTGATGCAAGCTTGATTTGGGCTTTCATGCTTACTATAGAATAGTAATTTGGGGATACTTCTGTGTTTAAACTCTACCTGAATCTGAGTATATTCAGACTTCAATCCAAACATGCTGGTTCTGCTCATCTCAAGATCTTGTTCAGCACCAGCTACTCCAAAACCAGAATTTTCCTGGGACATCTAGGACGACTGGTTAGGCTGGAGTCTGTGGTCCCACTCTGCAAATAGTAACTTTACTTAGTTTTAAGATAAAGAAGTTTTAAGATAAAGAGTGCTTTTCTACATCTAAGTAAACCAAGGAAAATAAAGAATCAATAGAAAATGATTTTTTTTAATAAGCACACCAATTCATGGTTTGCACAGGGATCAATGAAGAGTATTAAACAAAATGTTTACATAGCCAGTTCCTCTCTCTCTGTTGTGTTGTGCAGAATCAGCTTTGTATATAAAGTTTGCTCTGTCAGTGCATAATAACAAACATCTGTTAACAGTAACTAGTGTGTTCGTAACACCATGTAGTAGAAGTGTTGCAGAGAAATGTGCTAGTGAATGCACAAGCAACTGGGCAGCTAATATATCTTCCAGGCTATGAAAATAAAGGTGAACCAGAAGATACCACCACCATTCTGTCACTTTCTAGGCTTCACTTGTTACAGTATTTTGGATTTGAGGTTGGAGAGGACTCTCTATGGGAAGGGAATGTGATTTTTTTCAGTCTTGACACTCAGGATTTTCTTTTCTGAATTACCCTTGCAGGCCTATAGATTAGAACCTTTAATTCTGAAACACTACAGCAACATTTCGCCTGTCCAGATCCACTGGTACAACACTGCAAACCCTCTACCTTATGAGCATATGAAGCCAAGTTTTCTCAACCCAACGAAAGAACCTACCTCAGTTACTGATAGCGAAAGTGTTTCAACTGTACCGAGCCCAACCACTTCACCAGTCATGGTTCGACGCCACTATGGGGAGTCCATAACAAATATAGGCAAAGCAAGTATATTAGGTAATTGTTCTTTATGTCCTTTGTTTTATATATAGGACCTTCTTGTAGAGTTTCACTGCTCTGTGGTGTGGTGTTTGAGGTGCATCCATAAGCAAACTATTCCTGGCTGGTTCAGTTTGTTCTGTATAGGTGTATGGCTTGTTTTAATCCCAACTGACATTTACTTTGACGGAAAGACAGTTTACGTACACTGGAGTCAAGGCTTGCGGGGAGAGGATGTGGGTCAGGGAGTTTATGCTATTGCTGCCTTATTGTTTTCTGCCTTATTGAAGTACCATCCTGGTGATTTAATAGTTTCCACTCTACTTCATGGAAAAAAAAAAAATTAAAGCTTATTTTGTGACTACATTTTCTGGTATTGGCAAATAGGAGAAAAATCTCCCTATGTATGCTATTATGGTTACATTTAACTCATGATTTTACAATAGGAAATTGAGGCTGGTTTAATATGAAGCCTGTCCCCTTCTGGCTTTCTGATTCAAAATAAGCCCTGGTTTAAGTGAGCTTAAATTCACTTTCACTGGAGCTTATATTTGAGCACGCACTTGCAGTTTTTGTTGACTCAAGGCTTTTCTTTAGCTCTCTATGTGGGATTTGGAAGAAGGCTTGTGCCAGGAATCTTCCCAATCAAATAAGTAAAGTATATAAAAGCACTTTAGTCCTTGACTAGAAATAGGCGGTATTTCAAAGCAGGGTTGCTTTTTGCTGTTACTATAGTAACTTTAATGTCTTGTCCATGAGGTGGCAGCAAAGTCGGCAGAAAACATCATATATCTGTTCTTAACTTTTACACCCCTCTTCCTGCGCAACCAAAATAGTCCTTTCAAAGGATGATACATCATTTCTAAATGTCTGTAAGGGTGATGCCAACATAGGACCCTTAATGAGAGGAATGTCTTAAATGCCCTGATGGGATTCTTACGTGCAGAAGGTACTAACATTGTTATAAAGCATTTTTGTCTTAGACTTTTTATGAAAGAGGAATTACAACATATCTATAAAAGTACCAGATCTCTTGCTGCAGAAGTATTCTCATGTATTTTTGTTCCCCTAACTACAGTTTCCAAATTATAGCCTTTGCTTGTATGCTAGATTAGTCTCATGATAAACAGTGTACACTTAAGTCAGATAAGCCGTTCCCACCCTAGAAAAGCATGAATAGTGTTTTCCTTCATCTGTCGCTCAACTCTGTCTGATGAATGCTACAGTGACTTTAATTTGCAGTTTGATTTAGCTGCCCTTGTGCTTGGTTTTTTGTGGTCTTTTTCCTCCGTGCTGGATGCAGGAGCTGCGAGTATTGGGAAGGGCCTCGGCGGGATGCTTTTTTCAAGATTCGGTCGTTCTAGTACAACCACCCCACAGACACTCGAGACGGGAAAGGATGGAACCGAGGGGGACGACAAGAAGGCCACAACTGTTGGGACACCGCCTTTACCGCACAGCAGCTCGGGCTTTCTCGAACCCACAGGTTAGTGACGAGTCCACCTTACAAACCCTCTGGAAACAGTGGGCTTTAGTGGGCTGCATCCGTATGTTGTGGGAGGCTGGAAATACCATAACAACATATGCCGCTATTTAATTTTGTTGGTTTGCTCTGAAGTGATAAATATTGAATCTGTTCCTGCTTTTTCAATCTCTTAAGGCTGTCCAAGGACTGACTCTCTGTTCTCCTTTTAAGCTTTTTTTCCTCTTAAAGGAGGTTTATCTGTATACGTGTTTGTACGTACATGTACACCATATATATACGTGCATGTGTGAGTTTTGGCTAATGAGATCTGCATATCAGTAGTTCCTAGACTCCCACTAGGAAAAGCAATATAATTGCTGCAGAGAATCCCCCTCACCATTTATCATAAAATGGATTTATTAAATTTCCCCATACATTTGCAATTCTGAAGCAATCTGGATTTAAAGGCACTTATGACTGGAAACAGAAGCTGCCCTTGTCCTGATCTGAACCACCCAGAACAGAAAGTGCAATTTTAGCAGCTGTTTTTTTGGAAAGGTACTTCCTTTACAGAAATTCGTACTTGATTTTATTTCTAAACTTCTCAGTGGCACTGTTGCAAGGCGGGAGTTTTTGCAATCTGCGGAGTCACAAGTATGTTGTAGCTTGTGATAGCGTTCACATGATACATTGCTGTCCGCTCATCACCGCTAATTTCAACAGATAACCTGAGTCAGTATTTGAGGACAGAGACTTTGTTTTAAACTTGAAGAAAATAGAGTGGCGTGACCGCGAATCTTGCGGAGCTGCCGATGAGGTCCTTTCGGGGGCGGTTTGGCACGTCGAGGGCCTTCTGCACAGTTCCTGCATCCCTCTTTGCTGCGAGCCCGTCCCTGCTCCGTAGAAGGAGACCGTGGAGCGGAGGCCAGCGAGGCTGTAAGCTGAATGATGCAATCTGCAGCCAAAGTATTTGCTTCTGAGAGGGCGGCCGCTCGGCTTGCGGTGGGGTTTGGCTGCCTCCCAAGCTCCTGTTAAAACGGCCTCTCGTCAGAGGGAGACGGAGTTGTTCGGGGCGTCCTTCCTGCAAAGCCACTGGGGTTTTTTTGAATATCTGCGTCTTAGTGGAAATGACTGCGGTTGTCTCCTGGTATTCGAAGGCTCTGAGTCCCTCTCCTTGCTGCATTTGCAAAAGCGGTGCGACGCTCCCGTGAAAACACGAAGGCACGCGTCGTTCCCCGCGTGCTGCTGTGCCGTGACGGCGGCAGCGCTCGCGCGATGCTCCCTTTATGAGCCAAGTATTAAAATTCCTCGAAACTGGCTTTGATAAATGGCTGCATTTTTTACTCAATATGGGGGTTTGGCTTTTGTAGCTAAGCAGGCTTTCAGTTTTGTCCTTTTTATTCCGCTGCTCCTTGTAGAGATTTTCTAACCGCTAAAGTGCCTTAACAATAGGTTAGCCACTGGCCCAGTTAAACATGCAGTGAAAATTGCTTTGAATGTGGTATTAATCAAAGCAGCCATTGAAATGAAAGGATAACTGCTGAAATATATTAGGAATAATCTGGAAATGAAAAGGGCTAGTGCTGTGTAGGGACGGCTGGTTTTCAGAACAGGCTTGTAATATTGGGTGTAGTCTCCCTGTATACCCACTAAAGATGCGAGAATTCCATTTATTTCAGAAAGTTCTGAGCATCCACCTTCTGAAAGTCAGTGTTTCCTAATGGGGCCTCAACATTTCCTGGCTACTTCTGTGTAGTTATCATAAGGAACATAAATAAATGTATTTATACAGTTACTATAAGGAAAACAGCTGCTTAAAAAAAATGCCAGCTTTTGCCAAGCTTTAGGTTTAGTTTCTTCCCCCCCTCCCCCAAACTAAGCACCACTCTTAGATCAGGCTTCTGCTAAATGCATGTGCATCAAAATGTATGTACGTATTAGTAAAAATCACAGTTGACTAAAGTGAGTGTACTGTTAAATGTAAACACAGAGACATTATGTGTATTTTATATACAACAAGTAGAATCAGAACCCAAAGCTGATGGAAAAACATGTCGGTGTTTTTTCTTCTGCTGACATGCAATTCTAACACCCTTTTTGTTTCTTGTTCAATTTCTAGTGGAACTGGAGCACAGGATTGATTTTGAGCTCAGGGAAGGTCTCGTGGAGAGCAGATACTGGTCTGCAGTCACATCACACACTGCCTATTGGTCATCTCTGGATATTGCTCTTTTCCTTCTAACCTTCATGTACAAGCATGACCAAGAAGATACCGACAAATCCAATTTAGACACTATTTGAAATTTTGACTGCGGATGGGGCGGGATGGGAAAGGAAATTTTAAAACAAATGGCACAAAACTGATGTTTTACTGTTGAACTGCAGTATATATGGCATGGAGGTTTCAGGTTTAAGTGCATGTTTGGATTTTTTCCTATTTCTGAAGAGCAAAAATGATTTGTATTTAAAAGCACTTTATAGTTTTAAACATTTTGCAGTGCTTAATTAGACCTGAAATGATTCCAAATTCTTGTTAACTTTGACTGTATAGAAAGCCAATACAACGTGTAGCATCCCATAAGCACGGTTGTGTGGTGTGCTTGGGTGACATACTTGTTAATGACCATAATTGCTGTTTAGTTCATTAAAGTATAAAAGATTAGTTCATTAAAAAAAACTAAATTAATTTCCATTAACAAAAATATATGTTAGATACAAACCTAAAACTGCCATGTTCTGATGTTTTATGTACCAGTAAATAACAAACGGTGGTGTCATTTTTCTAGGACTTTGTTCAGCTCCACATCCTATTATCTACAGTACCATTGAAAGACCATTCTGACTACTGGCTTCTGAGGGCGTATTATATGTGATACATTTAGTAACTAATGCTGAAAAAAGCATGAAGCAAATATTTGAAATACTGTAATTATAATTTATTATTATCTCTAATTGTTTCATTTTATTCCAGTGTATAAAACATTACTTTTTTACTGGTTTCTTTTGACATAATTTAAGAACCACATTTATTTTCTACAGTGTTAAGACTTTTTCTCAGAAATACATATCTTTGTACTACTATTCAAATGAATATATGGACACTGTGGCACACTTTAAGTATTTTTTCATTAAAAATAAATATTTGTGGTTTCACACAAATGACATCAGTCACGTTCTTCTCCAAGGTAAGTAACTGCCTTTGCTTTTTAGGTCCCAAGTGTTTCTCAGGCACGTGAAGGTTTTGACCTCACATTAGACTTGGTTTGCAGAGGATCCAGCTGTCTTTCGCTTACCATTATTAAACGTATATACGTGCGTGTGCATTTGTATAAAAATGTATGTATGTGTATATTTATGCACAAGGATCCCATCAAGAGGAAAGAGCAGCATAAAATAAACTTGGTGGGGCCTGAGAGTACCAGAGCTTAGGTTAGGTTTCTATCTGAAACTAATTCAGGAGAAGTCAAGAGAGAAGTGTTGTGATGAAAGGAAATAATCTCCAAATGAAACACTAAAAGGTCACTGTTGAGATTTTAAAACAACGTGGAAGGCTCTGGAGTAGAAGTGTCAGATATATGGCCTCTGAGCTGCCTCTGGCTGAGGTATTTATGATCTGTATGGCATGTGGGAAGCTGCAGAATCTAAATATTTGTTAAAAAAAAATATCAGGCTGTGGCGTTGGTGAATAGCGGTGTTCTCAGTGTTAACAGATGAGGCAACATCAGCTCACCGCACCAGCAGACAGCCTCAGCCAGTGACTCGGAGATGTGGAAACCACCCAGACGTCCCTTTCTGAAATTCGGGGGGGAGAGGGTGGCTCTTCTGCCGAATAGTATTGCTCGGGCTGTTGTTTGTTTCCCTGGTCCGTGGTGCAATGGGGAAGGAATTGGGAGCTCGGCTTGTATGTTGGGGTTATGGATTTAGGACTAATTATGAAGGAAGAAAAAACAATGCGAAGAGAAAGGGAAGGGAGGACTGGAGGGGAATGGGAAGAAGATGACAGAAACAGCGCTACTAGAAATGCAGTGAACCAACAGTGAACAAAGATGTTCAGATGGTGTAAGGGATGTTGCTTCGGTGTGGATATCTGAAAAAAATCCATCTAGCCTGGGTGAATTGTAACTGTCCTGCCTGACATGTTTACCTTGGTTGATGAACAATCATAAAAAATTAAAATAACCCTCTAAGAGAAGGAAGCTTGACACCTCTGCTCCAGAAAACAGGCTTTTGTTTACATTACTGGTTTTGCAGATAAGTTGTTTAATCAGCTCTTCCTAATTAGGAGAACTTAAACATAAAAGGAGAACCCCCTTTTAAATTTAGAACGTGTAAAACATTTCCAAATGTGCATGGTTTGTGTTTCAGTACTTTGAGTTGGATCACGTCACTGCTGCGTTATCCCCTTACACTACTGGATCTACACTAGATCTCTTTCTAAACGCTGTAAACAAAAGGGGGTTAATTCCTATAATTCTTGTGGTCTGTGTAAACTCTGCCGTTGTCCAGAACATGTTTGAGATTTATGGAATAGCTGTTCCCCTCACATCAGAACATGCTGGTACTTGCTGACTGCTCTCTATGTAAGGGATGAGATCCTACTTTTATGCGCGTACCCCTTGGTAAATCAGGGAGCAGATAGAGCTGAGAAGTAAACCATATTGCTGGTAGGAGAAGGGATAATAAGGACCAATACCTGTTCATCACTTTGCATTTTTCCTGAGTTAATGTACATATTCTGTTCGAATTTGTAACTTCGTGGAACATCTACTAATCTCCAAGGTTAAATACAAGGATAAAACGTACCTCGAAAGAATAAATGGAGATTTATTCTAAAGTGTATGCAAAGATGTTAAGCATGCTGTGGGCAGACTTTCATCTTTTTAATCCTCAAAAAAGATCTCTTATCCTCCTGCAAAGACGAAATACTATTTGAAAATTAAATTTTTAAGTTGTTAGAAAAAGGGTTGTCCCATTTCTGTTCTGCAGTGTAACACAGATTCAAGTAGGGTCACACCTCTGCATGCTAGAGTCTAAATTTCATGCTTAAAACTTTCTGGTCAGATGGTCCATGGCATAATATAGAGCTGGAATGTGCTGGCTTCCAATTACTGACTTGTTTTCTTCTGCAAGAACAATGTTTAGCTTTACAGGCTGTGTTGACTGGTGGTTTTTCTTGAGAAACCAAGATAAGGGAAATGTACTGCACTGTTGTCAGTCTTCTGACTGATACTGAGCTGTTTTCTGAAACTTGCCCTTGAGTGCTTTGCCCAAATCTGACGCTCCCAGGTTTTTTGCTACAAGGTCATTTTTGCAGATAAATCAGCTTCAATTTTATTTTTTTTTCCTGAATTCCATCCCTTTGCTTCTAATTATTCTGTCATGTTTTTACTACAACCTCCCTTCCCCTCTATGTGCTCTCTCTGCTTTTATTGCCAGTGTTTCTGGAGTTAGAGGCCCTTTGCTTTATTTCACTGTGGAAGTCTAGCTGGCCAATTTCAATTGTTTTATCTCCTTTCCTAATTAGTATTATCAGGCTGAACTGAAACATGTTTCATATTCTTATACATATGTATTATGCCTGGTTGCCGTCTCTTCCTCCTTCACCGTTTTTTGTTGTCCTGTTGCTCGTTTCCCATGCCGCTTGTCAGTCAAGCTGACTCTACACGTAGCTAAATCAGTGGGGATTGATTTTTTTCAAGTTGAGTTCATGAATCACTATGTCAACTGTTTGCAGTTAGATAGTTAATGTATATTTGTGTGCCCTCTGCCCAGCAAGTTTATTTGAAATTCATTGTTTCCCATTTTTCTGTTATTAGCTTGGAGATTAGGTTTCTGCCTCCGCATATCATTTTTCTACTGAAGTCGGACTGCAGGTGATTGACCCGTGGTGTTTTACAGGGTCATCTCCCCTGTCTCTGCCACACGTCTTCAGTGACCGTCAGGGGTTCAGTAAGCTTTTACACACCAAGGCCTGGTAATAGACTGCCACATGTACGGAGTAATTTTCAGTTTTCCAAGCATTATCTTACTGGTTGCTCTGCATCTGCAATTGTAGTGAGTACTTTTCATTGCTTCCCCAGAGTCCGTGCCTATTGTCTTTGCTGATATTGCGAAAAGCTTTAAAAATCTTTTTTTAAAATGTCACCCATGTGACAATCCCATTTTCTGGTTTATCGGATGGACTTCAGCCTGACGTTTTTCTTGCATTCCATGTTTGATCTGCATTTACTAATCATTTTTCACAAAATCAAACTTTCTCTTGGTTTAGCTTTCCCCTCCCTCTTCTGAAGCATTTGGTTTTCATTTCTGCTTTGATTTCTGTCCACTGGAATTTCTGTCCACTGAAGCTTGCTTCGTGAATGTTTGAGCATAGCCTGTGCATCCTCAAGACTTGAAGCGGAAACTTTGAAACCCACTTGAAACCCAAGAGGCACATCTTACTGTTGTGATCCCAGAGACTTCTCCTGAAAGCTCAGCATCAGCAAAGCCCAGCTGGATGTGTTTAGCTTTCAGGATGGCTTTGCATGTTCTCTCTTCACTGCATTTGTGTTTTCCATCAGTCAGTTTAACTCTGGGACCGACAAAAAGTTTTCTGTTGTTGTCAATGAATTTTGGTGTGTTGGTGAGCAGCGGATCTGGGCTGACCTCTCCCAGGACTGGTTCCTTGCTCTTTGGGTTTCTCCTGGCTCCCCTGAGGCCCATTTGACCCACACTTTGCTATAGATGTCACAACGGTTTGTGTTTCTCTGCATGCCATTGCAGAAGCACTTAAAACTGCATGCCCAGCTCCTGATGCTGACAGCGTGTTGACACGGTCTCCTCTTCCAAGGAATAAGAGGAGAAGTTCTAAGCCGTGGAGAGAAATGCCTGGCTATCAAAGTTTCAGTTCACCCTGGAGGTCAGTGCCCTCTCGTCCCATTGGAAAGCAAATTCCAAAATCAGCCTTTTCCCCTGAAAATGCCCTGTCTCCCCAGCTGCAGTTGCAGCAGCTCTTGACTAGCAGACCTTGGCCAATCCTTTCCCTTCAAGAGTGAAAAGTCAGTGAGTCCCCTGCAAGCATGAGATGTCCCAGAAGCAATCCCTTGTGGTTTTGAAATCCTCGCTGATTTATCCAAAGAGAGGGGTTTCATATGACAATTCTGTGGGCATCTGGCACAGATTAACTTCTCTGTTTCTTAAATAAAATACCATTTCTTGCAGCTACTCTGCCTGTTCCCTGGTGCCTCATTGCTTGTAAGTGTGGACATGGGAGAGGGGAAGTGCAAAATTCTCTACAGACTGCAGCCCTGAACAGACCCTCG